GATCCCTCACCAGGATCAGCTTCCAGCATGACCCCTGGGACTGCAGCACTGGGGACACTCGTGGTCTGGACTGTTAAACCAGGTAAGTGACCAACACAGTTAATCTTCTATCAGTTGATCGTGGTCACTTACCTGTGTTTCTTCCCCAGAGTGTCTGAGATTGGGCGGTGCCCCCCCCCCCCGCCTGCAGTGTCCGCGAGCCACAGCTCCGCTTTTGTTTTGGTTTTTATTTTAATAAATCTTTTGAACTTTCCTACTGACTGTCTCTCCTGAATACTGGGTCCATCTGTTCTCGTTTCATGACAAAAGTTGTTAAACATTTAAACTCTGTCCTGTTTTTTTATGTATAAGGTTTGTTTTTTGTTTTTTGTAATCCAAATTCATAAGGAAATAAAAATCTTCTTAGATCAATACAAGGTTGATTGTTTAATTTGTTTTTAAATTATAGTTTTTGAAGAAAGGAGTTAAACATATTTCTCAGTCATTATTATTATTCATTTATTCCGATTCCATCCATCCATCTATTTTCTTCCGCTTTATCCAGGGTTTGGTCATTTCGAGATGTCCCAATCCACACACACCTCCGCCTGCTACTCTGGGGGGACCCTGAGGCGACACCAGGCCAGCTCAGAGACACAGTCCCTCCAGCGTGTCCTGGGCCTTCCACGAGGCCCCCTCACCATAGCACATGCCTGGAACACCTCCCAAGGGAGGCGACCAGGAGACTTCTGGCACAGATCCTCCTTTCGACGTGGAGGAGCAACAACCTTACTCCGAGCTCTTCCCGGATAACTGAGCTCCTCACCTGAATTGTATTCTTATTCATCCAGGCATTAGGTAATCTAATTACATTTAAACCAACACAGCTTTATGAATCAATACAGATAGATCTGTGGAAATTATTGAGCTGGGGATCAAACCACTAAACTACAGAGGAAGTAAATACCTGTTTCTAGATTTATTCATGGAAAGAAACTAAAAATATTTTTGTATTTTGTTAAATATTCAACTTGACACTCATTTATGGAAAGCAAAATCCTCACTTCTAAACGTTCTTAAGTAAAAATCAGGCTTACTTTTGAAAAAGTTTTCATATAGAGTTGAGCTTGAAAGTTTGCATACCCTCCCTTAAAGAAAATGATAATTTCACATTAGTAATTCAAATAACTCAAAACTGAAAAAAAAATATAGTAAATATGAATGTACTAAATTATCATTTGATATAATTAAATATTGGAATTGTGTTAAAAAAAATAATTCTAAAAAAAAAATAAATTCAAAAAGAAAAAAAAAAGAAAGAAACTGAAAGTACCTTGCTGATGAACAGCAAACCAACATACCTGTCAATTATTGGCTCAAAGTATATTTATATGAGTGTAATTACAGTATAAAATTTGAAAAAATGGTAAAAAAAAAAAAAAAGTATGTTATTGGTTTGTGTTATCACTGTTTTATAAATCAACATAAGAGAAGAAATTATAAGCGAATAAATGTTTTATAAGCTTTTGGAAATTTTGATTTACAAAACACATTACATTTGCAATGAATGTAAAAGGATAATCTAGCAAACATTTGTAAATAAATCAGGATGAAACCCAAAATGATCTACTAATGAATCACCATACCTGGTCATTATATTATTACTGGATCCAAAAGTAATTTTCATGGCTTGGTTCATAGTCGAGTCACCTTTGCCCTGCAGCCGGATGTGCCATGAAAATAGGACATGCTGGTGGAGTATTCTGATGTGTGTGCGATCTTGGTATCATTGCAGATCTGTTCTGCTATCAGCAGCTGAGGGTTATGCAGGATACCACTATCAGTTTTTGGACTGGTGCTGATCCCAACAGATCCTGAGCTGTGATTCCGCTAAAAACTGCTGATCTAGTGAACAAAAAGTTCCCTCCATAACACATTGAAGGTGATATCACATCAAGGTGACCGTGCTGTTAAGAGACTTATTTCTCACATAGCAGGTCATGTTTAGGGCATGCTAAATAAAGAGTCATAGAAAATTTGCACATTATTTAAACCTAGGGTTTTTATGAAGCATTTCAAAGAGACAGACAGGAATTCTAGGATAGGCCGGCATAAGAATGTATTAAAATACATTAATTTTTTCCAGTGAATGTGCATTCTTCAGCCATAACACTATGACCAATACCTGTTTCTGTTAACTAAAGAGAATCTACCTGCTGCATGGTGGTGCAGTCAGTAGTGGCGCCCTCTAACGATGGACAGATTGAGCTAAGGTTGTCTGTTACAGCTTTGATTCTTATGTAAATACTTATTTTTTTGCCTGTAATTTTTACATTATGCCTATATTTGCAACTATCATTCTCCTGCAAAACTGGTTCATGTTTTGAATTTCAAAACGCTCAAGATCCATAGGCATGTATTTTTTTTTATGGTTTTTGTACTATCACTTCAGTAGTGTTTGCAAGAAAAAGATAATTATGAATGTCTGTTTTTGTGTGTGCTGTGTAAAAGGCTTACCTGTGAAGGGGTGACCCTCTTTTATATAGTCAAATGCATTATCACACTCCTCTCACCCTGAGCAAAATGTTCCTATGTAGTCTAAAAAATTTGGAGAAATATGGAATTTGCTTGTGGTGTTAAAAAAAAAAAAAAGAAAGAAAAAAAATATTGAAATAAATTTGTCACTTCTTTTTAAATTTATTTTTAATTACAAGCCTTAAAAAAAGCCGATTGAGTCCACTGACAGGTGATCTAATCATTCTCAGTGTCACATTGTGGTCAATACTTATTTTTAAAGTCCTGAAATTTTTTTACTAAAAATGACCCTCACATGATCTTCTGAGTTCTACGTGGATGCTCACAATATATGAAGCCACAGCAGGAAAACTACAGTGTATTCATTGGGAATTTAAAGCAATACACAAACATAAAGCAATGTATATGTATGAATTACATGGGAGAAATTTATATGGTTTTACACACTAAGCAAAAACTCAGAGGGTTGAGGCATCTTTATTTAAACACCCCAACAACCAGATGAAAACAGTTTGTGGAACCAGCTATTTCTAAAATTACAGCTGCAACTCATTTGGATTTTTTCTGGATCAGCATTGGGCATCTACAATTAAATTAAAGTATTTTTTTATTGACTCCAGCTCTGGACTTTGAGGAAATTCATATACAATACCTTTTTATCTAAAGCTGCCATTTTTTGACCCCACCAGGTTTTCTTCTGAGATTAGCCCATCCTTCCATCAACTCTAACCAGTTTTCCTCTGTCTTTGCAAAAACAATTCCCACAGCATGATACCACCACTACTTTGTGTCACCCTGCAGATAGTGTTTTCAAGGTGGTGATGTATTCCCCATCGAATGTTTTCCAAGTTTTCGCATCTGACTAACTTGGGTCTTATGGTTAAATCCTTGCACTAATTTCTTTTAATAGGTTTCAAGTAAAGAGGTAGGATACAGACAGCCGCCAAATTTCATATCTTTGTTATTTATCAGAAGGAGAATGAAAGCCACGATTTTCTTACTGCATCACAACCAGGAAATATTTCATGTTGGCGAAAGACATAAAATCTTGATAAACTACAGTGAAGACTTTGCAGTTGTAAGAATACTTATGCAACTTGCAGAGGTTAAGTCAGTTTACATGGCGCTATTTTATATTAGTATCAGTAAAAAAATAAATAAAATTAAAATAGTCGAGGGATTGGTCGTCCCCCGTTTTTTTCTTTGTAAATGTCATATCTTCATTAACGAAACACATTTAAATAACAATCACTAAAGATTCAAACACATCTTCTGTGCCTTGTCATAAACATATTCTAAATATTTTTAGATATTCATTAAAAATACTAAAAGCTGTTAAAAGTGGGACATTTTAACATGTAAAATCAAAAACTAGAGATGATTGAAAAGAAAAGATAAACACAAGCCTGTGTTTTTTTTAAATAAAATCATATTTATTTTACAAATTTTCACAATTACAGAATAATGGTGAAGCCTTATACAAATAAACAGTTACAAAGAAGTGTGTGTAGCCTGACACACTTGACTCTATCACGCCCACACTCACACACCATCATGTTACAGCAGTGGACACAAAAACACAGCCTCTCGTACAAGCAGCACACGCACACACACGCAGGCACACACTTGCTCCTGTCAAACTGCCACAAAGCATTTATCTCCTCCAGGTGTAAATCAGATCAGATTTTGTCCGTCTTTCTCATTTCTCACATTCACCAAGCTTCAGTGACTCGATGTCTTCACTCAGGCAATCAAACCAAACAGTGGTGAAGTGTGAAATGTACACGTGCGGTGCTGGTGGCTTCTGTTTCTGTCAAAGCTCCAGTGAAATTTTACAGAGAGGGAGCTCTAGTGACCTCTAATAAAAGGAGCTGCTCTTAGACCCTGGATATGCCTTTTTAAGGGACACAACATGGCTTAGATTGTTCGTACAAAATCATTTTGATTGGATTTGGACTGTTGTTTTATAGCTTTTTTGCTTAAATATTAAATAAACTTTACATCTAAAAAAAAAAGAAGCAAACAGTGGGATCTCATTTAGCCACCGTAAGCTGCTAGGTAGTTTGGTTGTTTATATAGAGAGGAAGTGATACAGATTTACAAATAACTTAAAAAGAGAATTAAAACCTTTGATTGTCTTCACGCAATTCTTTGTGAGGAAAATTTCCTTGAGTGTTCTGTTTTGAAGAAAAACTTTTTGTCCTTTTGCTTAATTTTGATGAGGTGGAATGAAATGGAATCGTCACAGACGAGGTGGAGAGAAAAAGGGCTATGAACATTGAAGTGAGGATGAGTGAAAAGCAAAGGGAAAAGTATTCTTCCAAGTCCTTCTTAGAACTTTTCCAAGCTTCAGTTTGGCCTGGATTCCAGCTCCCGTTGTGCATCTTTCTTCCGCTATTTAGTGGGAGGACGTTCTGTTACCGTGCTGTATTGAGTTTACAAGAATATACAGTTCAGAGTGTTGCATTTAGCATATTCTCTTTTTCGATTTGGTTTAAAAAGTGCCCACATTAAATAAAAAACCGTTGCAGAACCAAATGCAACAAGCAGAAGGAGGTGAAAATTGGAACAGATTGTGCTGCGGTCGGATCCTCAGACCTCCACCTGGCCTTGCATCAGGTGGGACCTGAGCTGCTGGGCTGCGCTGACGATCTTCCTCTGATGTCCCAACAGGTTCACACCAAGGTTCTGGACATCTCTGACAGAAAGCAGGAGAGAGACAGAAGGCAGTGCAGTTAATAGCATGCAACAAACAGTGCAGAAGGATCAGGGGAGAATTTTTTATTTCTATTTTTTTAATACAGATTCTATAAGTGCAAAGTTTGGAAAGGCAATTCCGGATGGCCTTTAAACCACTTTGTTGGTTATGCTATTATTCTGTTGGAATACATACTGCTGTCCCAGTAAGAACTGTCTGCCTTTCCTTGATAATTGGGAAGACTTCTATCATTTAATTGTACTTTTTATGCACCACTAACAGTTATCATCCTGCAACCCCAACCATGTTTCATAGTTTGGGAAGTCCTGTTAGGTTCCAAGGCCCATGTCATTTTAAAAGTAGTAGAATGGGAAGTTGGTCTAACCATAACCCTTTAAAGTGAAGAGTATCAAATAACGTTACTACATCATGTTCTAATAAACCATATGAGTTTTGTGTCATTTGGAGCTGTTCTGAAGATATTCGGTTAGGTTATTTACAAGTAACATCTTCCTTTGGGCAAACGACTTGAAGGCACAAACTAAACTGTTCATAATTTATTATTTATGGCACGCCAGCATTCATAATATATAGGTGAATCACTGTCCCCCAGACATCCGCGGTTATATTTTTAATATTTATATCTTTTAAAAATAAAGCAGAGTGTGTATGATGATGTATCAGACACATGTTAACAGAACATTTTTCAAAGATTATACATAAATGCCTAGTGTATCAATTTTATGCAAATAAATTATCTAAATTAACTTATACATTTTGTTTTTAATGAAAGTTCAATGACAACTCTAATTTAAAATTATTTCATAGTCCAGGTTTTAAAGTGTTACAGACTTGGAGCTTATTAGCAAAGCTGAATGGAAAGAAACCCAGTGGAAACATCCAAAAAGCTGGTCAGCAGTAATAAGAAGCGCTTGTTTACTCTAAAAAGAATAAAGCTTTTTCTGTTGATTGTTAGTGTTTAATTTTTCTCTGAGGTGCCATTTTTTTTAGCATATTACAAAGAAATTATCCTTAAAAAATTATATTATTTGATCAAAATATTTAGGGATGCTGTATTATTTCGAATGCAATGTTTTTAAGTTAAACAAAAATTATTTCAAAATTAAATCGGATAGAGATATATATATTCCATGGCTGAATATGCCTGCATTTATTATATAATATTTGATCTCCTTTGAATTGGAGAAAATCCATGAAAAAATCAGTTGTCCTTCTGATTCTTTACTTTTATTTATTTTATGAATTGAAAAGAATTTGTTGAAATTCCTTACCAAAAAAAAACGATTGATAAATACTTTTAAAACTAAAACGGTATAAATAATTTCTTTACGTACTCCATAGTGAGCATGCTGACTCTGTCTAATGTGTCTATGTTTGCTCGATCAAACTCCTCCTGATATCTCTCCATCCTCAGCGCTTTCAGCCAATCCCCGACAGTTGCCACTGCCGTTAAGTCTGTGGGGGTTGGGCTGAGCAATGGTTGCGAGCAGCTCCTGGAAATGTCAAAAACAAGTAAATGAGATGTTTTATCACTGATGCACATTGCCTATCAGCAGAGAGCTGCCATCTGTTTGGAAGCTGCTGTCTCACCGAGTTGGCTCAGCCTTGAGGGAGGCAGGGTGTCTGATCAGCCTATCCAAAGAGGAGAGGAGCTGGTCGAAGCCTGGCCGGTCCCCCCGTTCAGCCTGCCAGCACTGAAGCATCAGGGAGTGGAGAGCAGGGGGACAGTTGTGAGGAGGAGGAAGCCGATACTGATCCGCTACTGCCTTCATCACCTGCAGACACAGGCACAGAGAGACATCGGCTGTTTATGCAGAAACATTAAGACAATTCCCAGAAAAAGTCCTTGTATACTTGTAGCAGAAACAAAGGAAACATTATGGAGAGTTCTTTATATATGATAACAAAAGGGGGGAAGGGGAGAGAAGTTAATCTGTATTTATTTATATATTAATTTATTACAAATTTATAATATTTATATTTATTTACCAAATATTCCAAAATATTTATTTACAAATATTTGGGAATGTATTTTAATAATTATTCTTTTTATATTTCTTAAAGAGAAATAGAGAACAGAGAGCAGCTACTGTACAGAAGCATGTTTTAGACTATGGTAAATTGAAAATGCAGCTAAAATGAGGCTCTGTAGGAGACATTTTCTGATTTGACACAGTTTATCCATGTATGAACCATTATTGGTGTCTTAGAAACTGCAGTGTGGTCTTAATCTCTGTGACAGGGGCCTTATGCTAAACCTTTTTTGGTAACCACTTTCTATTTCTATTAGGCTTCCTGCATTGTTCAACATTATACTGTAGTTATAGTCTTAGAATCATATTGAATCACAGTTTATCATATCTATTTCCAGCAATGTATTCCCCAAAGTAGGGTTCCAGTATTTAACAATTGTATGCTTAATGGTTCTAGCTCTATTTTGGACATGTAACAAAGTCTTCTTGCGCAACTCAGTGAGTCCTGGACTCCTTCAAGTAACTAAAGTGAAACAACATGCTGTAAACTAGGATGTAAACAAATAATCAAGTTATGATTCATTTTTGTTTAATGGTTTATTAAATAAAATTAGTTTCATCCAAAGAATTGATAACACTAAAATATTTATTTCAGTGTTTTTGATACCACCATCCACTAGAGGGCGCCACGTTTTAATTCTGGTAATTGAAGTAAAGACCTGACCACACCTGCCAAAAAAAATCTGATTTTTTTGGCAGGGTGAGCATGAGTTTTGTTTACTTCTGTCTCTGTGCCACAAAAATTAAAACAATTTCTGACATTTGACTTGGACAGATCATTAAAAGTTACAAAAAACAAAATAAAAAAAACCCAAATATTTGTTTCTAAGATTTTGAGAAAATTTCAGGTTCTTAATTAATTGTTAGTCTGTTGATAAGATCATTCAACTTTAATTAATTAAATGTAACTTCAATTTGCGCACAGGAAAACATAAAATGAATGGTGCTGTTAGAACTTTTTTGCTAAATGATGAAAGGGAAATGCCTGTTGTGAATCTAGGGATATATTGAATTTTTTAATTTTAAGAGGGGAGTTATGACTTTTTTTGGTAAGTTCCTTGGGTTAAAGTTCCATCCTCACCTCTTGATTGCTCATATCCCAGTATGGGCGCTCTCCATAGGACATCACTTCCCACATTAATATGCCAAAGCTCCAGACATCACTGGCTGTGCTGAACTTTCGATGCTGGAAAGCTTCTGGTGCAGTCCACCTCACTGGAATCTTACTGCCCTGATAGCAGACAAAGATGTAAATAGTCAGAATAGCAATCAGTGGTTGAAGAAACCGAATGAAATGAGAACCAAGGTCCAAGTGCGCACCAGAGAGGCAGTGTATGTGGGTACATTGTGGTCCACACCCCTCATGAGTCTGGAGAGGCCAAAGTCGGATACTTTGCAAACTAGGTTGGAATTGACCAACACATTTCTGGCAGCCAGGTCTCTGTGAACAAAGTTTCTCTCAGACAGATATCGCATTCCTGCGCCAACTCCCCTGAGCATCCCAACAAGTTGAAGGACACTGAACTGACCTTCGTTCTCCTGCAGAGGAAGCAGAATGGAAAGTTTGAGTTCTAATATCGAGTTTGACGGTGTAAACACAAAACACTCTAGAGTGGGATATATTGTCACCCTAAGGAAAGCATCCAGGGGCCCATTCTCCATGAACTCAGTGATGATTCTTTCTGGAGGAGTTCGCGTGACAACACCCTCCAACTTCAGCACATTTGGATGATCAAATTGCCCAAGGACCCCTGCTTCACTGAGAAACATTCCCCTTTCTCTGTCAGATGCCCCCCATCGAATAGTCTTCACAGCCACCAGCACTTCCCTGCGGCCCACAGGACGGTAACGTCCACGAGACACTTCTCCAAACTGGGCTGAGTAGAGACAAAGTAAAACCTTTTACAGCTGACACAGAACTGGAGAGCATGTATTTAGGAGGATATCAAACCTACCTGCACCAATCACCTCCTCAATCTTAATATGAGAAGGATCTATTTCACGGGCAAATTCTTTAACTGCCTCACTGGGGTCTTCATATGTAGAAGGATCCACATAATATTTAACCCCACCTACAATTACAAATCATAACCTTAGAGAAGAAATCAAAATGTCAGAAATTCATTGACACGAATTTCATCACAGATGTATTGTCATCACAATGTGGGGATGATCCTTATTCTTTGGATCTACTCTTTACATTGATAAGAACAAATCAGATTAATTTAGTAAAATGCCATGGGCTCACTTTGAAATAAACCATGCTGTTTTAATTTCGGGTCCTTTTTGTCTTTGTATCATTCTGTAGTAAAGTTTTGGTTGTTTGTATGTGTTTTTGGTTTCTATTTGCTCTATCTGCACCTATCTGTATGGCTTGTGGTTGATTCCGTAGTTGATATTTACTACCAGGAGAAGGTCACTCAATGGTCACAGAGGGCTGGATAAGGGGTCAAAATGTACTGCTCGGGCAACACAACTAAAATATAACCTAAATCCAGAATGTGCCGAAAAACATGCACATATGAATTAATCACAGAAACAATAAAAAAAAAAACGCATTTTGTTCTTCAAAATATTTAGTAAATTGGTAAAAAATTGTTTGTTAATTGTTCAAATCTGAAGTTTATATTTAAATTACAGTTGGAAACAAATTGAAGGGCGCAGATTGCAAAGGTCTCAGTATTATGAGCACATCATGTATCGGATCTGTTCATTTTATGATTCCATTAGCTTAGGGCTCTTTTGGGTATAAATTTTTTCTTAGGTCAAATGCTTACTTCTTGTGTCACTCGTATTCTCTATGCCAGTAATTTATACAGAAGGTTAACATTTAGATAATCTATTATGTTTTTTATATTCGCTACATCTCTTAATGTTTCAAATCTACAAAACATATAGTTTGCCTTTCTGGAAAAGATGTAATATTAATTACAAAAATCCAAATGTCCATTCTTCTCCTGCTTGGTGTGTACTCAGAAATCTGTAAAAGTGGATTGAGCACTATTCTTGAATTCAAGTTGAATTTTAACATTTTCAAGATTCCCAATTTAAGTTGAATTCAAGAATAGTTAAATAAAGCATACATATCCTTACCCCGGTTACTGATGTACCTCTGAAGTCTGTCGCTGTATGGGCTCTCTCTCCGTTTGCTGCAAGTTAAATAAAAAGCTCTAAAATATGAGGATAACTGAGAACATGAACACATACCGGTTTGTCCTTAAAGACTTACCTGCGAAAAACAATGACAACAACAATTGCTGCCACCACTAGGAGAAAGGCTGCGCCACCCATCACCGAGCCAACAAGCAGAGGAAGTCGATTCTGGATCTGCAGCGAATGTTCCTCTGTGGGAGTTAGCAGTAAAGTTAGGGTTTTAGGGTTTTACCATTCTCAAACAGCTTTTATTCAAGAGTTTTGTTATTCGCAACACACAGGTCCATGCATTTGAATGCATAGTTAATTTACATTGCACAGATAATGAATCAAAATAATTCATAATTTGGCATGTTTCATAATTGCAAAAGCATATTTAAAGGAATTATTTGATCTTCTTTTCAAAGTCTACATTTATTTACCATTAATGTTACGAATAAGAAAAAACCCATTATATTTTATGATGGAGGAAAGATAAATTTCTTAAAATTTTGTTACCCCTAGTATGAGAAAACCAAACATAAAACCAAAATAATAATCTTGAATAAAGTCATGAGACCTTAATTTTTTTTAATCTCTCAATTTTTCCACCAAATATTAACAAATTTAGTAAAAAAAAAAAAAAAAATAGCAATTAAACTTCCATTCTGGGTGTAGTAAATCTCATTGGTACAACTAGTTATTAAAACATGCTTTTTACAGTTAGAAAAATGTGGTGTACCAAGTGGCAGCGTTGTGAAATAGATGGTGTTGCTGTATGGACCATAGCCACGTTCATTTCGAGCTCTGATCTGGAAGGCATAGATAGATCCAGGAATCAGAGAACTGACGGTCACTGTGTTGGTCTCGCTGAATACCGTCATCGCACTGTCCATGTCTGAACCCTGAGGTATGCAGGGGAAGAGAGTTCAGTTCATTTTCATTAATTAAGTAAAGTAATGTGATGGATATAGGATGTGGTTTGTTTCCAACCATACCTTGTCATAATATCGGAGTTGGTACTCCAGGATGTCTCCGTTGGGTCGATCCGGCTGAGGCCAAGAGAGTGTGATGGAGTCTGGAGCTCGGCTCAGCTGGTGCAACATAGGAACTGTACTGGGAACTGTGGAGGGCAAAACATGGCTGGTCATTTATGTGCAAATGCTTTTATCTTTTATTTGTAAAGAATAAGGATTCCAGCTAATGGAATTTAAAAGTTAAATTCAGTTAAGTGAGCTGTAATTAAACCTTTAATTAAAAAAATGTCTCTTGACTCAGATGATTTGATCATAGACCTATTTCTAATCTTACTTTCTTATCTAAAATTCTTGAGACAGTAGTTGCCAAACAAGTCCGTGACCACTTACACTATAATGAACTTTTGGAAAAGTTCGCAAAGTGTGGTTAAAAGCCTTCAGTTAATCCAAAATGCTGTAACCACAGTTCTGAGGAAAATTAAAAAGAGAGATCTTATTTTCCCTATCTTAGCTTCCCTTCACTGGCTTCCTGTTATATCCGTAATACAATTTAAAATCTTCCTTCTCAAATATAAAGCCTTAAATGGCCAAGCTTCATCTTATTTCATGGATCTGATCTTTCCTTATGTTCCAAACAGAGGACTTCACTCTCAAGCTGACAGTTTACTAGTTGTTCCTAGAATTTTTAAAAGTAGAATGGATGGCGGATTTTTTTACACCAGGCTCTTCTCCTGTTGAAGCAACTAGTTTTAGTCAGGGAGGCAAACACCCTGTCTACTTTAAAGACTAGATTTAAAACTTTCCTTATAGCTATAGTTGCTCAGGATATCCTGAGCTACCTCTACAGTTATGCTGCTATAGGCTTAGACTGCTGGAGGACATAGTGACCACTTCCATCTTTCTGCTTCATTCTATCTCTGTTCTTCCATTCTGCAGTAGTTCAATCTTTATCATTATGCTCTCTCTGATTTTTCTCCTCACTGTAGCTCCATCTGGTCTGTTCCTGTTGGCTGTGACACCATCCTGGATAGAAATATCAGCTGTGCTGCTGCCACCAACACCTTTGTTTATAGATGCTGGAGCTTGGCCTGTTTTCAGTGTAGTCTTGCTTCTCTGACTGTGACTAACTGTATGTGCCCTCTTTCAGCCAATGACATGGGAGCTGGCTAAGAGCTCATCTTCCTAGCTGTGTTTTTCCAGGAAGGGGCAACTTTTGTGTCCTTTTTTCTTTCTGTATGTCTGCTTCTGTCTCCTTGAACCCAGATGGCTGCTCACCTGAGCCTGGTTTCTTCCTGTTCCTCTGCACCATTGCTACATACATGCTTAGTGTGAGGGGTTGCTTAAGTTTAAATAAAGCCTCTTTCCCACTGAAAATACAGGGCTAACGCATGTTTTTTTAAACATGGGTCAACCCGCTAACAATCTGCATTTGGCTCCATTCCCACTGGCAAAAAAAAGCTGGGCATAACCCCTCGCTCGCAAGCTGGGAGCACTCTGTCCGCCCACGGCAGCATGTTGGGTTAACGTTAATGATGTCATCAGTGCAACTAACAGATATCATTTAAAATACAAGGTTCCAGAGTTTGGAGAAAGAATGGAGAGGCAGCAGATGCAAATTACAAGATGATCAGTATGGGGTTTCTAGTCAGTGATATCCTAAATAGCAATGCCATCTGCTGATTTTAGTCAGTTGTCTTTATCCTGCGAGCCCTCTGCCCACCCACGGCAGCGTGTCTGGAGACACCATCATGTTGGGTTAACATTAATGATATTAGTGCAACTGAAATCAGGATGCTGATGCTTGTTTAATGATCCAATTTGACTGTATTTGAATGGAAAGCTTGGTGAGCTGAGCGTAACCTGATGGAGAAGGTATGATGTACTGGAGATGTTAAGATGAGAGCCAACAGAACAGAACCTGGAGGCAGGAACACCTAACACAACAGCAACAACAGATGTTATATCTAATTTACACTCCACTGACGCAACAAATTGTTCAAGAGGAGGCCTGTACAGCTATAGAGTGATATAATGCACTTTTTATCAGTATGATATACTTCTTTGTCTGAAATACAATTTCAGCTGTTTTGATGCAATGTTCCAATTTCTAGTGAGTTTAATATTGGGTTTTCATTGACAGGATACCATGAAATTGAAATTGAAATGAGCTGATTTTAATTTGAGTGAAATGGAGTCTTTGTGTGTCTCTGTGTTGCCCTAGGAGAGACTGGTGACCTGCCCTGGAGGTACTCTGCCTCTCGGCCGTAGACAGCTGCAGCACCGGCCCAACCGGGACCCTGACAAGGACTAAGCGGGAGAAAATGGATGGATGGATGAACTGGAGCCTTTTTTTTTGAAGTGAGGTTTAATATAATAGAAATCAACTGGAACCATCTTACAATGAACTGATCTAATGTAATCATAACCGAATTACATCTATAAGCTATAACCGCTTAAGTTGTACTATAAAGAGAAAGTACCCACATGGGGGCAGTGTTACTAAACCTGTGGAAGATGTCTATATGTGGAGTTTTATGGAGCACCAAACAGGATCTTGTTACTGTCACTGTATCGGCAAGGCTGCCAAAGCTACAGAAAAAAATACTGTTATTTCATCTATAGTCTCCTGAAGGCAGTACAGGAGGTTTTCAGATCATTTTGACAAATTAAAGTTCTAAATTATTCTAAGTGGTCTCTTGAAAAGCTATACAATCACACACTTGTTTTTTTTTTGTCGTCCCCCAACTAATTCCCTTTCATCTCTCTTTCTCAGTCTCTTTATCTTCCCATCTCTCAATCTTCCCATTCTCCCTCCTCTTTGATAATAATGAGATCTGACAGGACACTGAAACCTTGAGCGACCCCTCGTCCAGGGAGCGGCAACAGAAAAGATGGGGTTGAAGCACCAAAAGAGATAAAGGAGGAGGAGGCGGAAATCCAAACAGACAGGATCCACACATGCAGAGCTTCTCATTTTCTTTCATCTCATCTTTTTCATCCTTTCTGTCCTGTTCTTACCTGACTGGCTGGTGGTGAAATTGATGCTCGTGTATCGAGCCGGAAAAGGACTCAAAGATGACACTTCATTCATGGCTTGCACCTGTCAATATGAAAAAACACACACACACACACACACACAGTGATGTGACATTCAGAGTCCACGCTGACATTTACCACATGTGTTAGAAACAAAGCAAGCCATGGAGCATTCACCATGCAAGGGAACACATCCTACTGAATGGGAAATATCTCCCCATAATTAATAAGAGATAGGCCATGAATCCAAGTGAGTTGTGTTGAGCTAAATAATAAATGTGTGTAGTTGATAATGTGGAGCTTTTTAATTAATTTAGCTCATACCCTCTGAGCTTTACTTATGTGAACATTGAAAAGGTCTTCAGACTCACATAAAGGTCTTAAAGCCCAGTTTACAACATGGTTCATTGATCAGTTGGAAGAGACAAAACAAGAAAAAGAAGAACTTAGTAATTAGAGCATGTTCGTCATGAACAGGAGTATAGGCTTATGGTGAATGAACAAGGATTTGGTAGGGGAAAAAAGAGTTTAGCAGATGTCAAAAGAACATTTGTAAATTGGGAGTTATTTACAGTTAGATATAAAAACATTTTTGTTTTTGCAACAGGTGATTAATCAGTAAAGAAAGCAAACTGAAATATAATTCATACAGTCTATCTTATGTTTAGGTGTGATGCAAATGAACAACTTTCAATACTGTTTATGATGCTGAACATTCTTTTGCAGTCACAGTTAGGTAGCTTATTTTATTTTTTGGTGATATTGCACCAACACAGCACTATAACTGTAAAACAACATACATTTCTGTATTATTATTTAATCTTCAATGTTTTTTAACCAACCAGATGCAGATCATACTCTGACCACTAGAGGCCAGCAAAGTGTTTTCATTACTGTCCAAAGTGTGGATTGTGTTTGCATCCAGGGGCATCTAATCTCCTTAAGTAAAATAACAGGAGTTATGTTATATCAATAAAAATAACTGGTGGACTAACTTACTTTTTCACATTAAATTATTTAGAAAGGACAAAGATGAGGACTGTGTTGTGTTAGCAGCATCAAGGAAAGTGACTGAAGAAGCTGAACAGGCTAATAAAGAGTGCCAGCTCTATTCTGGGAAATATCTATACCCTTTGGAGAGGATTTTACAAAAACAAAAACAAAAAAATTCTTCATGAAATGTAGAACTAAATGGAAAACTCTCAGTATTCTCTTTAGAAGATTGTTGAAGAACGACAATGTCTTCAGTCGAATGTCTATCTAGATCTGGTGCAAGATGAACTCCTACAACCATTATGATCTACAATGACTTGTTAAAATTAACTATGAGTTACCTCGCTATTTAGTATCCATTTGGGATTTATAAAACATTTTTAACTGAATTGAATGGTATTAGAATTCCTTCCTGTTAGATGTTTCGCCATTAAGAAATTATTATTTTCCAAAGTAATAATGGAGGACTATAGCCTCAAAAGGTTCACATGCTTAAAAAGAAATAGATATGTTGCTCATGTCTTCAACATTTTTTTTTGTTGTTGTTGTTTTTCTAGGGCAAAATGCTTTTGTTTCAAAACAGTGGGTTCTAGCAGTGGCACAAGTAGCTTTTAAGCTTTTTTATTTATTCCTTATTTTTAACAAATGCAGCTTTACATAAGCATTAATATACAATGCTTATGACTCTGTTATGTATGGTCACAGTTGAGCAACATTTCCATATCCATAGTGGAGAAAAAAAGTCAGGCTTCTTGCTTAGACATAAAAACTAAACAAATGTATTGTTTTCTTTTATTCCCTTAGTACTTCTTCAAATGACAGTATGTGCAAGGACAAAAAAAAGTTGATATTTGAATCCATGAAAGCAATGAAAGCAATGAAAGCTATCAAAACCTTTCACATCGTTTTATCTCAGATTTTCAATTACAGAACAATTGATGAAAAAAATATTTTGCTCATAAGTGTATATTAAATTAAAAAAATACACTTTAGTCTGTAAGAAGTATATACTGGATATTCATTAATAAATAAAAAGCTAAAACTGTATGTTTCATGTACTTTATGGGATATTTATCATCAGTGACAAGACCAATACCTGTATGAGATAAGTGACCCTGGTCAGTAGGTTGTTGAGGGTTACTCTAGTCTGTTTCAGGTTGGTTTGTGACGGGCTGAAGGTGACCCCCTCTCCACACCAGGAGCATGCGGCTGGGTTGCTGAAGGTGGGAGAGGGGCAAATGCGACAAACCACGCCATACCACACTTCACTGCGACCTCCCATATCCAAAGGAGGACGCCACCTTAAGGAGACCCCACCATCGCCGCTTTCATACTCCCAGGTTGGAGAGACTGGAGCAGAAGGAGGAGCTGAGCAAAAAAACAGAGAGAGTGGAGCACATGTATAATATAAGTAGAGGATAGTTAAAATGAAGCATCTGCTGAAAAGTTTATGATGTAAGAAAAGCTTCATCCTGTCGAAGCCATTAAGTCGTGTATAAAAGTAATGGAACCAAGGTCATAAAACAGCTTGACAGGGATGTATTTTAAGTTAAATGAGAGCAGAACTTTATTACCTCTCAAGTTTATCTCCTGTAGAAGCAATTCATAAAATAATATGGTTAAGGTCACACACCGTGTAAGTTGATGATTTTTAAAGTTTAAGCCTAGTAAGAGCCCTTGCACATCTCCAACAGAGCTAGGCATAAACAAACAAACACATAAAGCTCACTTGTGCAGGCGGAAGAGTTGGCATCTTTGGATGCTCGATAAAAGCCACTGCGACATTCGCACACACTCGACCCCTCCTGGCTGGTTCTGCTGTTGGGGGGACACACAGAACAGGGAACGGAGCCAGACACAGACTTGAAGTAGCCCACAGGACAAGCTGCGGAGAGACAAAAAAGGGAAAAAAGATGGTTGAGTATTTTCACCATATAAAAAGTATGATTATTGATCCCAGTGAGCCACAATGCTGCAGAAAATGTGGAAATGGGTAAAGCAAAAACAAGAAATTGGGTTTTTCTCTTAAGCTGTGAATATATGTGGTAGCCAACTTTTTACTCACAAAAAAAATAAGGATTTGTGACAAATCACTTGTTAGAAGAGGAGCTGAAATAATTTCTAGTCCTTAATTTATTCCGACCCTCTTACACATTGCTGTCATAAGCATAGACAATGGAAGCGTGCCAAAGCTGCAGACTTACTGCCTTTTGTTTTGACTTAAATTTCCCATTGCAGCTTCTCACAAGCAGCAACTAAGAACATAATATATTAGAGATGGTAAAATAAATGACTTTACATTTACATTGTGTCGCTGCCACAAGAAATCAGGAGAACAACATATTAAAAAGGCTGAAGTGTTGAAAATAACTGGCAATCTGTAAAATGCAACATTACTATCCAGAGTGACTTCATGCATCCTTTAGTGATTACAGTACATTCTAAAAAAATTCTGCTTTTTATACTCCATGTTAAGAGGTTTTTAAAAGTTGATTTATGCTTACAGGCTTATTACAGGCTGAATAGATTACAGTTTTCTGATAGCTCTGTTTATTCCTTTCTAACATCCCTCTGTCAGAACAATACCTTTGTCAATGCTGGCTGAGTTATTGTTGAAACACTCAGAGTTTAGTCAAGTTCCGACATTTCCCAGGGAAAAAAATCATTTAATGATGACAGACGGGCTATCATTGCTAATTATGCTAATCACTAATAGATGCGCAATATGTTTTAAAATGTCAGCACTAGAGTGGTTTTGTCCTTGTTTTAAAATATTAAGATCCTATTTGATGAAGAGGAAATTAAGTCACCTCTCTTTTTGATGTCACCACTCACTGTGGAAGGTTAGAAAGAAAATGTAATGCTTTATTTACATTTTCTTATAATGCAGTTCTTTAAAAAAAACATCTATCCATCCATCTTCTCCTGCTTATTCTGTCAGTTTCGCTGTGGGGCTGGTACCTATTAACGGTAGTCTACGGGCGAGAGGCAGGGTACACACTGGACAGCTCGTCAGTCCGTTACAGGGTTAGGGTTAGAGACATCTAACCATGCACAACCACACCTAAGGTCATGTTTCCAGTCTTTGTGAGAAAGCCGGAGTACCCGGAGAGAACCCACACATGCACGGGGAGCACATGCAAACTCCATGCAAAAAGACCCCGGGCCGGCAACCGAACCCAGAACCTTTCTGCTCACTATGGATGAAAACTGAAAATGGATGAATGCTGATTGTGCACGAACGCTGATAGTGGATGATGAATGCTGAATGTGGAGGATGAACGCTGAAAGCGGAGGGTGAATGCTGACTGTGGATGAACATTGACTGTGGATGAATGCTGACTGTGGATGAACGCTGACTGTGCATGAATGGTTACTGCGGATAATTGCTGACTGCAGACTGCAAATGAATGCTGACTGTGGATGAACGCTGACTGTGCATGAACGTTGACTGCGGATGAATGCTGACTTCCGACTGTGGTTGAATGCTGACTGTGGATGAATGCTGACTGGTTGAATGCTGACTGGATGAATGCTGACTGTGGATGAATGCTGACTGT